CCTTCCTTCCTCCCTTCCTTCCTTACGTCCTTCCTTCCTTCCTTCCTTCCTTATTGATTGATTAATTGATTAATTGATTGATTGATTTCATTTTCTATCCTACATTCGTAGTGTTAGCACTTTCTGAATGGTTTAGGAAAAAAGAGGGATGATGATGATGATGATGATGATGATGATGATGATGATGATGATGATGATGATGATGATGATGATAATGATAATGATAATGATAATGATAATGATAATAATAATAATGAAAAAGACACAATAAAAGATCATGAAGTCCCTAGAGGTAGCTATTTGAAATAAATGGAAAACTTAAAACCTGTTTGACTATCTGAGGCAGTTCTTCAGTACTAAAAGGCAACTGTGTATTGTTTAGCCTTAATTAGCTTCCTAAAATGTTAGGCTTAGTTAGCTTCCTAAAATGAATCTGACCCAACTCTGGGAGGCCGTGGAAGACAGGAGGACCTGGTGTGCTCTGGTCCACGAAGTCACGTTAAGTCATAGACGACTTAACGACTAAACAACAAGAAAATGTTAGGACGAGTCAGCTGCCTGAGGAGGTGAGGAAGGGCAGCCAAAGCTGATTCCCTTAGTGGTGTGTTGAGGGCAAGGGAGGACCCCAGTTGTATGCTGATGAAAGTGAGTGGACCATATTGTTGATTCGGCCCAAAGCGCCATAGCGCTTCATGATCATCTCTATTCAGGGTTCTCCAGGTTATGCTCAACACTTAGTGCACAGAAACTAACAGGGAGCTAAATAAGGCATGGAAAGAATGGAGTTATGTCTTCACATCTGCTGGTAATTGTAATCAAACTAACTGCCACATTCTTGACCCAATGAATCATATTTCTATTTTATTGTATTTTACTTTCCATTGTTTTTACTTTCAATGACCTGTTCCTCTGTTTCTTTCTTCAGATATGGATGACTGTTTCAAATGTCCAGAAGATGAGTATCCAAATGAAAACAAAACTCGATGCCTGCCCAAACACGTCATCTTTTTGTCTTATGAGGAGCCTTTAGGGTGGGGTTTAGCCTTGGTTGCTCTCTCTTTTTCCCTGATCACAGCCTGGGTCTTAGGACTTCTCATGAAACACAAAGACACCCCCATTGTCAAAGCCAACAATCGAGACCTCACCTACACTCTCCTCATCTCTCTCCTCCTCTGCTTCCTCTCGTCTTTGCTCTTTCTTGGACGACCTGGAAAGCTGAGCTGCCTCCTCCAACAGCCAGCCTTTGGCATCATCTTTTCAGTGGCCATTTCTTGCGTGTTGGCCAAAACTATCACCGGGGTTGTGGCTTTCATGGCCCCCAAACCACGATCCAACATGAAGAAATGGCTGGGAAGAAGGACTGCAACCTGCATTGTGCTCTCCTGCTCCTTGGGTCAAGCAGGCATTTGTTCTGTGTGGTTAGGAACATCTCCCCCATTCCCAGCATTTGACATGCAATCGTTGACTGAAGAGATTATCCAATTTTGTAATGGAGGCATTGTTATTATGTTTTCCCTTGTCCTGAGCTATTTGGGCTTTTTGTCCCTCGTCTGCTTCACGTTGGCCTTCTTAGCCAGGAAACTGCCAGACACTTTTAATGAGGCCAAGTTCATCACCTTCAGCATGGTGGTCTTCTGCAGTGTGTGGGTGTCCTTTGTTCCCACCTATTTGAGCACCAAGGGGAAACAAATGGTCGCTGTGGAGGTCTTCTCTATTCTAGCCTCCAGTGCTGGTCTCTTGATCTGCATCTTTGCGCCCAAGATTTACATTATTCTCTTGAGGCCTGAGTTAAACACCAAGGAGCAGCTTAGAAGGTGGAAAAAAGAATGAAATGAAAAGACTTTTCTAGCATACAAACATACTTCCCAAGGGAATGATGTTATACTAGATGTAGACTTGGTCACTCTCACTTATTGTCACTAGTTTCTGAAAACATTATACAAAGTCATTGGGAATTTTGTGTTGTATTGTCACCATCACAACGGTTACATGCAGCTCTCTCTTTCCTTTGTTTCATTTGTAGAGGACTTTTTTTTTATCCCTGCACACTGCCCAGCCATGATAATGGAGTGGACAGAGGCCAGTTTGAAAATGTGTCCAGATAAGAACGAGATCTTCTTGATGAGAGATCCATTAGACCAATTAGAGGGAAATCTACCTCCCTGGATATGGTTAGATTCCCCCTGAAAGATAGGGTTTGAAGTTTGATGGTCCCTCTCTACCCATTTTTTTCTAAAGAAGGTGAAACATCAGTTGTGGCCAGAAGCACCTTTTATGAATTTCAGTTGTTTGTCCAGTTGCCTCCTCCTACCTGCACAGGAAGTGCTTGTTAACATTCGTTAATGCATTGGAAATCTCAAAATAGTCTAATGCAATGCTCAACACAGGACTGTTCTTGAAAATAATATAAAAAACTTCAGCAGGTTCAAATCCCAGCACCTAGACCAGTAAGTTTGATTATATATGGCCAGTCTTGTCTTGGTTACATTGCCTCCCTTTTAGTTTTCACAACCATTTCAAGTTGCTGGTTGTTAATCAGGTCTGATTTTTTGGTATAAAATTGGATCTTATTTCCTACTTACCTGCTTTGACTTTAATAAATCTTCAAATTAATTGCAACTGTGGATAGCCTCAGGTCATCTCTGCTTACACCTTTTGCCCACTGGTGCAAAGAAGGGGCCTCACAGAAGTGCTACATAGCTGGGTGGTTTAGGTGGTTTAAGCATCTGGCTGCGGAGCCAGAAGTAAGGAGTTTAATTCACCAATGGGCCTGCTTAAGAAAGGCTGGACTAGATGATGTATAGGATCCCTTTCAGCTCAGCATTTGCAAGATGATGATGTGGATGAAAATGATTTTTCCTCATATTGACCTATAAAGCCCTAAAATAATTTAGGACTTCAGTATTTCTCAGAATATATTTCCCAGAAAACAGGTCACCATTTACATGATCCTCCTAAACCACAGTATTGAGGGTAGTGAAATGTGTGGTGAAAAAAGATGACAGCAAGCAATCGGCTTGTGGCCCCGCCTACTCTGTGGAATAAATTTATATTTGAGGTACACCAGGCTCTGTACCACCTGATTTTTAGGAAATGATTTAAGTTATAACTTTATAAACCAAGTTTCAAGAACATCTCGATGGCTGTTGTGATTTTTTACTTTTTGAATTTCAGGTTTGAAAAAAGGAGTTGGCGATTACCGTATCGATTGGGTTTGTATTAAGGTGATGTTTGGTGTTGAGTGGTGGGTGCACTGGTCTCATTTGTAAGCCTCCCAGAGTAGTGGTGTCATGAAGTCAGCTGGTATTGAAAATAAACGGAAAAAATTGAATGAATGAATGAATGAATGAATGAATGAATGAATGAATGAATGAATGAATGAATGAATGAATGAATGAATGGAACACCCAACATGAAATTCCCTTCCTGAATTCTTCTTTCCCTGTTGCACTTTTTTATTGTTTCTTTGAAATAGTTGTGTAGAAGTTAGACTTGAAAAGGTGAATGAATCTGATTTTGCCATAGCAATGGTTCTGCTGTACATTTGTTCAAATGAGAAGGAAAGAAAGTGAATAGGTACAGACGGATTTTGCTCTCCTAACGTTCCTCAGTTGCTTCACCCCTAGATCTCAGTGCCCTCAGGTGCAGCTCCAGTTGTTCCTCTGAAGTTACAGCTCAGAAATGGACCCATCGGAAGGCAGATCCACATGGTTAGTGGGATGAAGGTGGGGCTAAGAACTCAGAGAGCCCCATCTGCTTAACAAAAAAGGACAAGTCACACTGAGGTGTTATCCAAATGTAGACGGAGTTTGCACAGTTCCTTCACAACCTGGGCCACAACTTCATACTTTTGTCTGCAGAGTGGACCATAATCAATAAACGTTTACCTTGAAACAAAAAGGATCATGATAGCAATTGACTTAGAGATGACATGCTTCCTTGTTTGGGTTTTGATATTGGTAGAAGAGACAGAGAACCCCACCCAAAATCGAACAGTCCCTAGCTGTAGTCTGTTTGGAACAGAGCAGGAGCATCTTGTGCTGGTAGAGTGAAACCTGTCTCAGCTGCACCATTTTTCCCACATGTTCTTAAATCAGCCACCCAACTTCATTTGGGAAATCCATCCATTCTACTACCCAAGAACAGATAGTAGTAGAGCCTCTCCCCCGCCCCCCAAAAAATGGATATTGGGGGAGAGGAGGGGAGAGGTGAAGGAAGAGGACTTGCAAGTGGGTGGATCAGGACAGAAGTACACATCCTCAGTCTATTCAGACATGCAGAGAGAACCCCCTTGATTGGCAATCATGTAGCAGTTGGGAAACAAATTTGTGCTGATTTGGGGAACCAGACTAACCCAAATATGGGAGCTGGAGGGCAAAAGAGGGAGACAAATATGGAAGAAGTGTCATTAGTCATTATTTTGAAGGGCAGTTTTGGTCAGTTTGGTTTAAAAACAGAAGGTGTGGACACATTTGACATTTGGTTTGTTCTTCTGTTGTTTCTCTACCTAGGTTTTTAAATGATATTCTTAAAGCAGTAGAACTCCACATGGAGGGGTATTAATAGGGAAGATTGATTGATCCATAGATGACTGGATGGACGGATGAATGGACGGACGGATGGAAGGATAGTCATATAAACTTCCACTTCTCTCAAACTGGAATTCAATGTGCCTTTGCCTACCAAATCAAGACAATGACTTTATCTCAGGCAATTACTTTTAATTGGTGGTTGCTTATCATGGAAGTCAGATTTGCAACAGATTTACAACTTTTCATCCTGGTGGAATATAGATAAGACCCCCTTTCCAATTTAGAAACAAAATAAAATATCTAACAAGTTTTATTCCCATTACATTCGGCAATGATCTCGTGCATCAACGGTTATGTGTCATTCTCTGGGAATGGGGGAGATGTTCCTAACCACATGGCCCCAATTCCTTCTTGACCAAAGGAGCAAGAAAACACCATGGAGATTGCTGTCTTTCTCCCCGGAGATTTCTTCTTCTTAGATCCTGGTTTGGTGGCCATGAAAGCCAAGTCCACTATGATTGTTTTGGCCAACACAAAAGAAACAGCCACTGAAAAGATGATGCCAAAGGTCTGCTGCTGGAAGAGGCAGCTCAGCTTTCCAGGTTGTGCAAGAAAGACATGGAACATGGCAAAAACAAAATTATAGTCAGAACATGTAAAAATATCTTAACAGAAAAGTAGAACAGAATATTTGCAAATAAAAGAGGTGTAAAGAAAGTATTTTTCGAGATGACATAATGATGACAAGCCACTGAAGATAGTACAACATAATCATAGTAAATATTATTATATAGTAATTATTATACTAAACATTGATTAGCACAAATGATGACTATCTTCATGGTGTTTTAACACAAGCAATAATGAGTCAGATTAAGCAGCATTTGGTCCAATTTCTATTAATGTATATACTGAAGGTCACATATGTTCTTTTTCTCTTGAACTACGAGATCAAAAAATGTTGGTATTCTTTATGCTGAGGAATAGAAGCACTGACACCACAGAATAAAGACACATTTGTCCCATTTCGGCTTACCTAATAAACTTCTTACTAGAGTCTGGGATTCAGAACCTTTTGGAACCTTTGTGACATAATTTTACCTGAATATTTCTGTGATTTTGCCTGGCTTAGAAATGCAAGGTATGGGGGAGATGGGTTTTCAGTTTATGACATAAAAGGGGTTCTGAGAAGAATGATCCTTGATGGAAGTTTTATGGAAAAGGTAAATGAATTGAGAAAAATCCCACCAATGAGGAGACCACCTGGCTGGTGCTACTCATGAGGAACTGGGAGAGAATCCTTCACAGAACAACTCATAGTCTTTCCTTTCTTGCACACAGCAGAAGAGTAAATGTCGGAGAAAATGGCAGCAAAACCCCCTTCAGATCCAGACTCTCATCTTATGGATCTAAATTACTGGATCTAAATTGGTTTTTAAGAAGGAAACCAAGGTCTTACAAGTCCTCATCTGAAAAGGAACTATACACATCTTTAATCTGCTGTACAAATTGCAGCCTTTGAACAGTATCTGAGATGGGCAACCCTCCAATTTCACCTCTGGCTGGAACAAAAACAGCAGGGGAATCTGACAGAGATGGAATCCACGGAGTCCTCATAGCCTCTTCCACCCCTACCACTCCCAGGCCTCAATTTCATAGGATAATTTTTAATAAGTCTTTTTTCCAGCTTGTTTATCCATCCTATTCTACAGGACTGTGGAATGATTCGAGGGCTGTAGTCTGCTGAACAAATTATACTCATTCTAATAATGACCAGGAGAGGTAATTACATCTTCAGAATGTGGACTCTGAGTAGGACCTTTGAAGAAAAAAACCTGTCAGGTTTTCTGTATTATTTCCTCATTGGGGTGTGTGTGTGGAAGACAACCTGTCTACTTCCTCAGAAGCTGTAAATCTGTTCCAGACTGCCCTCATGAACAAAAACCAATTAAATATAATGTCTTGAGGTAACATGATTGTAGTGATTTGGTAGGCAGAGCAGCTTCGAAATGAAATGAAATGACTGACTCCAGTTCAACCCTAATTCCACTTTAAAGGAAGTTTAAATGTCAATTGAGGCCAATGCAACAAAGAGTTCTATGACAGTTAAAGTCTCGCACATTATATTTTGCATAAACATTCATGAGGTGAGACCTGATTTATCAAGAATGAATACATTCTCATTCTCTGCCTCTGATCAAGTGCGACTCAAGGAGAACACAAGAAAAAATTGAGGATTTGTGATTTGCGGATTTGAGACACAAAACATTGTTTACTTTTTTGTTTTCTCATAGTGCCATAAACTGTGTAATGAGAATCATTCATCTCCATCTCAGTTCCCTCCTGATAAGACGGAATATTTTCCAATATTCTGATGGAGAAGTAAATTATGCATAATGGCACAAGACGTTCTGAAATTATCCATGTATCTCTGGAAACAAGGCTACACTAACAATCTCTCTAGCTTTACTTTGCTTTCTCCGAGGGAGCAATACATTTCAACAGACACATCACACAAAATGGGAGGATGGGAATAGTATAATTCCTTGATATAAGGATACTTTAGGGCAACGACACCTAACTGTACACCTTGGGGTGGAATTTGGTGACTCTGCTGTCACAGGGGTGAAGGTAATGGATTTTAGTCCAAACGTCAAAGGAGCGGTCCAATAGAGCGCCTACAGCGCTTGTTCTGAGCAGATAGGCGGGGTATAAATTTAAAAAATAAATAAATATGCTGCATGTATTCCGGCTAACACGGTACGTGTTAATGATATCAAGGAAATATTTAAATATACAAGTGGAAAACAATATTTCAACATGATATTCCAGGTTTTATCTTCAATTCTCAATGGACATAAATTTGCTTTCTTTAGACGTGAGGTGAGTTGTTATAGGATGGAGTTCAAGGTGAACACGTAGATCAGTGGTGTCCAACTTTGGCCCTCCAGATGTTCTTGGACTTCAACTCCCAGAAATCCTGGCCAGCAGAGGTGGTGGTGAAGGCTTCTGGGAGCTGTAGTCTAAGAACATCTGGAGGGCCAAGGTTGGACACCACTGACGTAGATTTTGAGATGCTCATCTGCATTATAATAGTAATTGGGTGCCGTCTTGCTAATTCTGGTTTCTGTCCAGCCTTTTCAGGTGTTCTAAGCAGAAGTGTTTTACCATACACATTGTCTGAGGGAAACTGGGACTTTTGCAACTTTTGCAAGGTCACACGGGCTGTCACCTCTGGGGTGCACAGTGGGAAACTGAAATCCTGACTTCTCATTGCCAACCAAATATCTCAGTGACCTATCCAGCAAGAATCACCGTCAGTAATCACTAATTTAGCTTTGGTTGATTTCCCTGGGTGTATGCTAAAGATGAGTGAAACTGGATCCAATCTATTGTCTCCAACCTGGGTGTATGCTAAAGATGAGTGAAACTAGATCCATCTATTGTCTCCAAGTATTGGGCACACACAAAAAGGTATATGTGAGCCAAATAAGTTATTTTACTCCTTTTTCCACCTTCTAAGCTGTTCCTTGGTGTTCAGCTCAGGCCTCAACAGAATCATGTATATTTTGGGACCGAAGATGCAAATCAGGAGACCAGCACTGGAAGCTAAGATAGAAAAAATCTCTACAGCGACCATGTGTTTCCCTTTGGTGCTCAAATAGGTGGGGACGAAGGACACCCAAACACTGCAGAAGACCAGCATGCTGAAGGTGATGAACTTGGCCTCATTAAAACTGTCTGGCAGCTTTCTGGCTAGGAAAGCCACCGTGAAGCACACGAGGGACAAAAATCCCATATAGCTCAGGACAAGGTAAAACATGACAACAGAGCCTCCGTTACATTCTGCAATGATCTCTTCCATGAAAGATTGCATGTCAAATGCTGGGAACGGAGGAGACCTTATTAACCACATGGCACAAATTCCTACTTGAACCAAGGAGCAGGAGAGAACAATGCATTTTGCTGTCCTTTTCCCCAGCCATTTCTTCGTGTTTGATCCTGGTCTGGTGTCCATGAAAGCCACGACCACAGTGATGGTTTTGGCCAATAAACAAGAAACAGCCACTGAAAAGATGATGCCAAAGGCCGGCTGCTGGAGGAGGCAGCTCAGCTTTCCAGGTCGTCCAAGAAAGAGCAAAGAAGACAGGAAACAGACGAGGAGAGAGATGAGGAGAGTGTAGGTGAGGTCCCGGTTGTTGGCTTTGACAATGGGGGTGTCTCTGTGCTTCACCACAATTCCAAAAACCCAGGCTGTGATCAGAGAAAACAAGACAGTAACTGAGGCTAAACTCAATCCTAAAGGTTCTTCGTAAGACAAAAAGATGACAAGTTTGAGCAGGCATCCATCTTTGTTCTCATTTGGATACTGGTCTTCTGGACATTTGAAACAATCATCTGCATCTGAAGCGAAGAAATAGAAGAATAGGTTGGTGGGTAATTAAAAATTAAAAACACAGAAATATTGTTTCGGTGCCAATTCAGATTTGAGATATGATTCCTTCTCACTCAATCTTGCACAGTGCAGTTTTCGCTCAAAAGGACAACACCTGCTTCTTTGCTTTTTCTAATGGTTAAATGTCTGAGCAATTTTAAAACACCCTGCAATGTTATAATTACCATGATTATCATAATCCATCTGCTATGGCTGTGATCAATGTATTTAACTCTGGTCAATTTAGGCTATATGGATACTAAATATCCTCATTTATGTTGCAGAGTGTGTAAAGAAAGAGGTCTTTATTTCTGTATGTACATAATGGCCACATGAGAAACTACTGAAATTTTGGAATTTGGTCTTCAAAGAAATAAATGGAATAGAACGGTTTCTCCTAAGAAGTAGGAGAATTGTAGTATTGTAGAAGGAGCAATTGAGATGGGCAACAAAATAATTAATTTCAAATAGATTGACTGCAGCAAGATTAATAATAGCAAGGAACAGGCAGAAGGAACTCAAAGGCTGACTGAGACACCTTTCCCAATCCGTATGTGCCCGGCTTCTGTGATATCCCAAGGACCATCCCTTGTGCTGTCACAAGGATCTATACCCACTATTAGTTCTTGTGACGATTGCCCCACGTCACTCCTGTCACTCATATTCAGGATCTCATTTGCATGAGCCTATGGGAGGAGTGGAGGGGCGGAGTCAGTGGATATAAGAAGGTTTGGCAGAAGAGATGAAAGAAGGAGATATAGAATTTGCAGAGAGAGAGAGAGAGACAGATAGTCAGGGACAGAGTGAGAACAGATACTAATAGAGGTAAGCTGGTCAAGATAAATAGGTAGAGCAGGTGGTGATTAGTTATGTGGCAAGATATATGACATTTTAATGTTCTGATTGTATGCATTGAATAAAGAACATCTGTGATTCTGATTAAATTTACAGTAATACACTTCAATAAATAAGTTCTGTTGGCAGTAACCAGACATGTGTCTGACTAAAGTTCTTTATATATTGTGGATAAAGGAAATCCACTGGTGGCAGTGAGGAAAAGAGAGAACACCACAATCGGTATATCTGCTGGTGGAATGACATAGCGTGAGCCTTTTGTTTGGGGAAACAAGCAGGGGCCACGTGGTAAATGTCACAGTCGCTTGGCCCAAAACCTCAGGGGACAGAATGCAGAAGACCTGTCAATATTCCTGCCATATCTGCAGTTATGCTCCTACACATCCATTTAGGGTTAAAATTCCCCTGTACATTATCATTCTTTCTGCTACCACAATTCACCTCAGATGTTAGAGTTGCCAAATAGAAAGGAATAAGTCTCAGTGTTTAAGACAACTAATGTATTTCTTAAAGAGTCCCCTATTCCATTGGTAAATTCTTCAAACAGTGTCCAGAATCCTCTGGCCATAAATTGCACCTTAAACTGGATCATCACCTGGAGTGTGGCTTATTTAATTTAAATTAACTAAAAGTTCCTATCCCGCCTTTGAAGCCTGCCTGAACCTCCCTTTTCCCCAAAAGAAGCATCAAGATGGGAGCAGTGGGAGATTTTAGTGACCAAAAGTCATGGTCGAATTGCTGCTAAAGGTCCACAAGAATACAGTGGTGCCCCACCGGACGATTACCCTGCTTGACGACGAATCTGCTTAATGTTGAAGTTTTTGAGATCGCCTTTGCGATCGCAAAACGATGTTTAGATGGGGGAATTTCGCTTAACGTTGATCAGTTCCCTGTTTCGGGAACCGATTTTTTGCTTTACAACGATCAGCCAACTGTAGAAAATGGCTCCCCACTGTGTTAGGGACAGATTTCTCACATTACAGGCACCAGAAAATGGCCGCCGTATGGAGGATCTTCGCTGGACGAGCAGGGATTTCACCCATTCAAACGCATTGAATGGTTTTCGATGCGTTTCAATAGGTTTTTTTAATTTCGCTTGACGATGTTTTCACTGTACAGTGATTTCTCTAGAACAAATTAACGTCGTCAAGCGAGGCACCACTGTATATGAGTTGCGGTGTTGTTAGCAGTACTGTTTTCATTGCGTGCTCATTAAACAGTAACACAACCCCAAGGTGATCATATCATCCATCTTCCCCAGTGGAAATCCAACCAAGAGAGCTCTCCCTTTTGAATAGCGGTGTGGTTACATACCGGTAACAGCAACATTTCACTTCTCAGTTCTGACATTTAACACAAGCTCACCTTTCTATGACAAAAATATGTGGAGCATTCAAAAAACATGAATGGAATCCGTGTAACTCATGAGCCAAATTCTCAAGATTTCTACACCACTCAGTTTCCCCTAGAGAGAGTTTGGGAGCTTCAGAATGGGGGTGGAGACTTTTATAGCCAAAAATCACTTTGAATTGCTGCTGAATTGCTGTGTTGTGGTGGTATTACAAATACTGCATTCCCTGTGTATTCATTGAAGAGTACTGCAACCCCATGATGATGACGGTATCATCCAGTCTTCACAGCATAAAGCTGCAGAAGAGGGGCCTGTGATCTGATTTAATCATTAGCCGTTTAATAGCTATGCGGTTACATACCAGACATGGCAACACTTCACTTCCTAATTTTGCCATTTGACCCAGAAACACGATTATTATTATATGACCCAAAACACACACACACAGACACACACACAAAATACATGCACACAATATTGGAATGCTCACCTGTCTGGTTTGAAATCTTTCCTTCTGGACATGGAGTGCAACCATAACAACAAAATTTTTCTCCTTCCTTACTTTTCTTCTGAAAGCCAGGATGACAGTACTCGTTGCAAACAGAAATGGGAAGCACCTGTCCACAAAAAAGGGAGAGAGTTCAGGAAGACAAACTCAACATTCTTCCTAGTCCCACAGAGACAGAGTTGGCCAACAATGATCTTTTGAACTAATCTTAACTGGATCATTTCAGAACCCACCAATAGTATATAATAAATATAATATAATAAATATTCATTTCTACAGGGAAATAACATAAAAGTAATATTAACACTGGTTTCATCACCTCCTGGCAAATAGAAGGGGAATATATGGAGACAGTGACAGATTTTACTTTCTTGGGCTCCCTGATCACTGCAGATGGTGACAGCAGCCCCGAAATTAAAAGACACCTGCTTCTTGGGAGGAAAGCGATGACAAACCTAGGCAGCATCTTAAAAAGCACAGACATCACATTGGCAACAAAAGTACGCATCGTCAAACCTATGGTTTTTCCACTAGCAATGAATGGAAGGGAGAGCTGGACCATAAAGAAGGCTGACCACCGAAGAACTGATGCTTTTGAATTGTGGTGTTGGAGGAGGCTTTTGTGAGTCCCCTGGATTGCAAGGAGAACAAACCTATCCATTCTGAAGGAAATAAACCCTGAGTGCTCACTGCAAGGGGAGATCCTAAAGCTGAGGTTTCAAAACTTTGGCTTCTCATGAGATGAGGAATCTCCTTAGAAAAGCCCCTGATGTTGGAAAGAGTGAAGGCAAGAGGAGAAGGTCGACAGAGGACGAGAGGGTTGGAGAGTGTCATCAAAGCTACCAATATGAATTTGACCAAACTCTGGGAGGCAATGGAAAACAAGAGGGCCTGGTGTGCTCTAGTTCATGGGGTCAGAAACAGTCAGACATGACTTGGCAACTAAACAACAAGTATTGTTTTCAAGGTAGAGATTGGTAGATTTGGAAGTCAACCTAGTTTCTGAAAGTGGTTAATAGCATTGGCTTCATGTTAGAGGCTAATAAACCATGTTGAGCAGATCTGATAATAAAGGAACCTTCATACCCCAACATGACCTCCTGAGCTAATAATTCTCCATAAATCATACCTTGTTAAAGCTTCTGTGCCATGTAATTTTATCCCAATCTATAATGACTTCAAGGGGAAAGGAATCTACCCTTCCAACTTTTACTTGATAGAAAGACTTGTTGGGGAAGATGACCACATTCATGATGTCAAATCCACCTCCTACTTCCCTTTTCCCATTAAAGGACACAGTTTCACCCACAGAGTTGTTAAATGATACGCTTTGCAGGAATGGGTGAATCTATTTGAAAAACGAAACAGAACAAATGGGATTAAAAGTAGAGGAGAGATTGAACCTAGGAGAGAAAGCTAGACATTGTGTAGCAGCATGTGGTCAACTTTCAATTGAATATTTATATGAACATGAAAATCCACCTTATCACAGCTGTTCAACAAGTAATCAAATTGTTATCTAGCACATCAATGACACCTCACTGGATCATCACAAAAGCTTATGGCGTCTGAGTTGTATGCACTTAAATACTGATCAAGATATCCTCCAGTGTTTATTTTATTTTATTTTTATTTAAAATATTTTTCTCCTCCTTTTCTCTTTGAAAAAGGACCCAAGGCGGCTTACAAACAATGAAAGACAATATTTAAAGTTTTAAAAAATTAGTATACAAACCATGGTGTGAAATGGAAAGGATGAATGATGTTTCGTTTAGAACACTGAGATCATTAATCATTCCAAAATATCCGTGAAGAAGACATGTGCTAATTTATTAATCAAAGTATTATAGGTCTTACCTGCCAAGGCTGAATATTTTGAAACACACCATTCCGACCCTCTATCAGAGTCTTGGATTTCACTCTGGATGAGTACACGGCGTGCAAAGTATGTGCCAGGGCATAGATGGCATTGTAGATACTATAGCTGTGTCCAGTCCAGTGGATTTCAAAAATAGGTCCAGGAAGACTCACCAGTTTCTCCTCTCCCGTACATTTCTCATTTTCCGGAACTGTTTCTCCAAAAACACAGTTAAAGGCTTGCTCCCAGAAATCTTTCACGAAACCATCCCTTTCATTCCAGCCAGGTTTGATAAGCTGGACAAACTCTCCAAATTCCAAAAGATAGTTTTTGTGAATCATAAAAGCAATAGTGCCTTCGAACATCTGAAGATCCCAAAGCTTTTGTGGTCCTGTTAATATAAAATCAATCTGAGTTGTGGTAATCCACACTTTTCTGTATATCCAATACCCAGTATTTTCAGGGTCTTGCAGAAATATTAATGTTCTTAGCCACACAATTGTTACTGATTCTCCATGGGCGATAGATGCAGTGGCTTTTTTATCGGCGAAATATTGAGCTATTTGAAGAAAGATGGCAAATGTTCCATCAAGGTCATCCAAATCGGGTTGTGGCGGGATTCGTGTTATGAAGGCTGAGCAAATTCCATTTTTAGAAAGAAGTGGGTCCATGACTTGGACAAAATGTTCCCCACTGTCATTATCGCCAACAAACATCCCAACCCATATCCATCTAAAATGCTGAAGCAACCGGATAATCCCCATGTACTGACTGTCTTCACTTGGGACCATTCGGTAAAAGTAAGGGTGCTGGGATGCAGACGATTTCTCGGGATCCAAAGAGCCATATGTGAACTATAAGACACAGTACATGCAGTTTTTGTGATAATCTGGAAGTATTTTTCTGGTTTATTTGCTGAAGGGATTGACAAATTTGGAAAGACAACAATTATTGCAACAACATCATCTCCTCTCCTGTAAAATCCATTTAATGTTCACATCGCTGGTTCTTACTTTTCCCTAAAACATCCTTTTCAGTCAAAATAACAGAGAAAGAATTCATTAAAAACCACGACACCATCGACCCCTGTATCTTATCCTACCTGAGGAATTTTGTAGAGTCCTAAGATGTCAGCCAGAAGGACAGAGGTGTCGGAGCCAAGCCCCCCAATGACCGCTTGGAGACTTTTCTGCCCATCACACTCATAATTGGGAACAAATCTCTGCCATTTGAAGAGCAGGTCCAGGGTGGTCCGATAGGTCATCCTTGCATTCGAATAGCTGTCAAGGACATGGAAACCAAGGGTGACATTGGGCAAGATTTTGGGATTCTTGTTGATCTCATGGATGGCAAACACCATGGTCAGGGCATGCTGGTAGAATTTTGGCACCATGCTGTCAAGACAGATAATTTAATATTGCAGCAACATGTCTACACTCTATGAAGTTGCGCAACATTCTTAAAACTGGTAATTTCCTCCACTGTTGATAAGACCATTGTCTATATCTCTAGTTAGATCTAAGGATGGTAGACTGCACATCTTAGCAGTAATTCTGATCAGCCTTAAGACTGTCTACTGTATTTGAAATAGAATCTGGTTCTTTTTCTTCCTATTAGCTGAGTGCATGAAGCTTCAAGCTCCAGAAAAAGGGAAGGAGATCAACCTGAATACTTCCTGCTGTACTAGGGAGAGAATCCTCTGTAGCCACATAGATTCAAGATCACGTGGATTAGGAAAAGGGAAGTAAACCAGTCTAGGAGTTCTTGAGACTGTATGGTGTGAAAGTAAAAATATTCCCCTTTTTTATTCACAGGAACATTTCTTGTTGTTCAGCTTATTAAAGATCTGTCCATTAACATTTCTTTTTTGTGGGTCTCCCTCTGTGTGTGTCTGTGTGTGATGCAATATTAGAAGACCTTCACATGAGCAAGCATTATCAAGCCGCAGTGGTGAGTGTCATCTTTCAACAACCAAATCTAGTGCAGTGAGCTCAGGAGAATGAGGTTGTCAACATGTTCAAGGAAAGAGAGACATGATTTTTTTTTACAGCACAGAAACTCACCCCTTGAACATACAATGAAACCAAGCAGATTGACTCACAGCAAGAAAAAAAAATCAACAGAAACTTAAAATGATAGGGAGAAATATAAGTGGAAGGTATTGAAATTATACATAGAAATATACACAGAAATTATACCTAAGGAGACAGAATGTGGAAAAAGACCTTAGTAGAAAAGTACAACTGGAAATTTGCAAGTAGAATAAGTAAAAATAGAAGGTTTTGTGAAATACACCATCTTAACGATGACAAGCTGTTTTGGAGAAGGAGGAAAAATATTATTGTATTAAATATTATTATTGCATAATAAAAATATATTATTATTCCTTTACCCAGTGCATATCAGAGTCAGTGCTCATGGGGTTATAACACAGGGGCTATGAAAAACGAGACAGATGAAGAAGCATCTTGGTCCAATTTCCTTTAAAGTCAACTGTCAATCTTTATACACAAAGTGACATATTTTCTTTTTCTCTTCCTGAAGGGGGGGGGAGGTCGGGGTTGGTTGAAAAACTTGATTTTCTTTATGCCAATTATTCCAAGCAGTGAGCCATTCAAGGGATACATATTTGCACCATTATGTGTGCCCAACCAATTTATTACTAAATTTTGGATTTCAGAATTCTTTGTCCATTAGTGACATAATTTAACGGTACGTTTTTGTCAGGCTTAAGAAAGGTAGAGAGGAGACAGGTCCTTACTTGATGACTTCAAAAAGCTTCAGAGAAGGATGTTCCTTGAAGGAAGCTTCATGGAACGCATAAATGATTTGAGTAAGAATCCCCCCAATGAAGAGTCCACCTGGCTGGTACAACTCATGAGGAATAGGGAGAGGATCCTTCACAGAACAACTCATAGCGTTTCCTTTTTTGCATGAAACAAGGAGATAACTGAGGTCCAGTGCCAAGAACCTCACTCTTGTGTTAGCAAAACAGAATCTAAACTATTGGATCTAAATGGCTTTAATCAATGATACCAAAATCCTGCAAGTCCTCATCTAAAATGGAATTATACTGGTTCTACAGCCTATCCAGAGATATACGAATTGCTGAACAACAAGGGGAAACTGTCAGTAACAGAATCAAGAAAGCCCTCGCACCCTCATCTACCCCAGTCCCCCAATTGCACAAGAGGATTTTTTTTTATATAATGGCTCTCGGACTTACTTATTCATAATATACCAAAATACACTGGAAAGCTTCTAGGGCTTCACTGTGGTGAACAAATTATAATCATTTTAATAATCACCAACTGAGGTAATTACTTCCTTAGAATTTAGCGTCTGAGTTGGACTTAGGGGAAAAAAAATCTTGTTAGCTATTGTGTGTTGTTACTATATTTGAGGGAAGACAGCTTGGCCATGTCCTAACATGATGAAACAGTTGCAAATCTCTTCCAGGCTGCCAGCATGAACAAACAACATTTAAATGTAATCCTCTTGAGGTGAACTGGATGTGGTGATTTGGGAGGCAAAGCTGTGTGGGAACGAAACGAAATTACTTACACCACCCCCAAGTTCCACTTTAAAGGAAGTAGAAGTTTAAATGACGCTAACAAAAGTTTGCTGTCTGTCTGTCTGTCTGCCTGCCCACCTGTCTATCTGTCTGTCTGCCTCTCTTTCAACATACTCTTTCTTTAAGAGTCATGGCAGACCACCTCAACAAAAGTTTCTTTCTGAACCACTTGTTTTTCGCAAATCAAATGCTCACCAAAAGCCCTTCCGAAAAAATAAGGATGTTCAAAGTCAGATGGGGGGTGGTCCTCTTAGCTTTCTTCAGAAAGGAGTGCTACTATTCTAAACAGGTATGGGACCAAGAGGAAGACGGATCTTGACCGGAGGTCAAAGAGTTTGCACCTTCTGTTGTAAACCATGTTGCCCATCAAGTTATTCTCCTTCTAAATAGTGAATGATCCAGCTTCCTACATATTTTTCTGTCTCATTTCACCCCCCCCTCATCTCCTAGATTTAAGTTAGCTGTTTCCTCTCCCCAGAACCTACCTTACTCGCTCCTCAATACCTCCTTTTTCCTTCTACCAACACCCAGCTGAGCAAGACAAAAGGCTGTCTGGGGCCTACTTCTAGCCCCAGTGCTTCCTAAGAGGCTTTGGGTATTATGGGAGTAGTCTAACTGTGTGTTGGGTTGTAGATTAGGGTCCCTCAAAGAACTACATCTGAAGCCAAAAGACAACACTTGCTGGTCTGAGGGGGGGGAGGCTTGACTTTGGGGCCAAGCATCCTTCTGTGGATTTCCAGGGGATGGGCTTAGTTATGTCTGCCTATTGATCATGGTTTTTTGTGCCCTTATGATATTAGAAGGTGGGAGATAAAGGAACAATTTCTGGGGTGTGTCCATCTTCCTTATAATGTTCACACATTTATATTGAAGTCCCTGATTTTGGTCACACCGATTGAATAAATGATGCTATGTAGACGTGAACAGAAATGTTCTACAAGGAGAGGCTGAGTATTAGGGTAGATCGTTGAAGGACCAATCTGTGCTTCCTGCTTTGTGAATTGCTATGACAGAATCTCTATTTATGCAAAAACTCGAGAGAATTTCCTGATCGTTTCAAGATTAACACATTTCATTTTGCATAAACGTTCAGGGATTACAGCCAAGAACAGAGCCCTCATTCTACGCCTCCGATGAAACGATTTTGAAGACATCAAAAGAATCTAATGGATAATCTCTTCCTTGAAAATGATGCAAGGTACTATTCACATGGTTGTTTTATGATATTGCTATAAGCTGACTGATAAATCCAACTCATCTCTCTCTTCATTCCATCCTTTTATGATATTGCTATAAGCTGACTGATAAGACCATCTCTCTCTTCATTCCATCCCGATAAGACAGAATTTGATCCAGTATTTCAAGAGACAAGTAAAACATTCCACACAGCACAAGAGGTTCTGAAATCATCCCTATATCTCTGGAACCAAGTGTACATATCACAAACACACTGTCTTGTTTTGCTTTGGTTTCCCATATGAGGCAATAAATCTCACTACACACATCTTACAAAATGGAAAGGCTAGAAGAGGATAATTACTTTTTACAAGGAGACTTCAGTATAGCTACAGCTATACTCCTGGACTGGAGGCTAGTGTTTCTGTTGTCGTGGGGATGAAGGGAAATAAATTCTCCAATAATATAATTGTATCATGGCTAGAGATGGGGATGAATATAAAAACGGATCAAGTTTTCTGATGAATATAGCCAATTGGTCATATATTCGTCGATCTGTATTTGTAAAATTTTATATCGGGACGAATGCCACCAACTGGTCGGCCACTTCCTCTGCAGCCTAAACAGCGTCTAGTGTGGCTGAGAAGGTCAATTCGAGAGTGACAATCCCTTCCGCACTGAAGACAAATACCGTCTGCAATAAGCAGCCACCAATTAAATGTACCTGCCTGAGATCAAGCCATTGTGTTGATTTGGTAGGCAAAGCTGTGTCGAAAGAGAATGAAATGGTTCTCGTTTTCTGTGAAAAGTCTGGTTACACAGAAGTTGAAGTTTATGTGCCTCTTACAGAAGTCCACTGTCTGCCTATA